TCTTTGTTGCGTGCAACCCACAGATTTCTCCTGTTGCCACACGCTAGCGAGGACTTGACGTTTTAAAGGTATTTGCCGTCAGTAGGTCAATGTTCTTATGGGTTATACGTACTTCGAAACTGCACGGTTATTTTTACTGTTGGGGGACCCGACAGGGCTGCCTAGTCGAAGAAATATACAGTAAATGATTTGACCATCCGCCCCATCCGATTCATTTTAAACTGCAGTCCTTTTTCATCGGTAAGGCTCTAGGTTACTTTCCAGGTTTTCATCTTGCCAGCAAACCTTGCAGTTTATCAGTCCATTAAACACACAAAATCTTCCTTCTAGCTTCGGAAAAAAAAATGGATTAGGTGCTGTGTCCAGGGAAACGCCAATGTCGACTGTAGCAGAACGTGAATTCTCTTGAAGAACTCACACAAGTTACGACTCACCTTTCGGAAAATCTACCTTGGATTCATATGCATATCCAGTTTATCAAGCAATCTCTGGTGCTAGACAGTGTCGAAGCCGAATCGAAGGTCATGAATTAGAAATGAATGGTTTACCTATCTCCAAGAGCTCAGGGTTAGCCCTAACTCTGAAAATTTGCTAATATGACGGTCCTTACCTGAACACAAGCAGCTAATTTTCTTAACAGCCTAAAAATACTCAGTTACTTTATAATTATCCTAGTCCAAGTAGTTGAACCTTATTGTTGTAATTGATCGATATCTCTCAAATCATCGAATGCGCGCAGAATTATAAATATGCCTGTTAACTCCGTGGAGTGGAGCGTGTCAGGTAGGAATTACTTGTTCTACATTTTTTAGTTATCAAGGACAATTCTAACGTAAGGCAAGCGTCCAAGGGTCAAGTAAAAATTCTTATAAACTATGATGAGGCTACAAATGAATACATATATTTAAGCAAGCACAACCTGTTCAACTTATTTAGTAATTAGGCTTAACCTTAGAGCAGTTCCGCGAACTCCAAAGGTCAATGAAAGCCGCCCAAGCGGCGCTATCACAGTCAATCGGCTACCGTTAGTACTTTTGGTCGAGGATTAAGTCAAAATATACCATGTACATGACCGCCGGATATGACGTGACGCGCACACCCTCAAACATACTGAAATTTATACGATGATTTGCTTTCGATTTTTTGACACTTTTCTTGTACCTTAACTTTTTCTTTTAATTAGCTGTACTTTGCTGTTTCTGTAATATTCTGACATGCCAAAATTCAGATTAATTTTTGACACCTACTTTTGTGAAACTTTTTATCAAATCCAACCTGCGCGGGGGCTGCACGGCGTTTTTGCATTACTATGGGCGAGACTTTTGCTGTGGCCTTCTATGCGGCGCCATCTCCGACGCCCCCCTTGTGGTCTAATTTCGGTGGTGGTCTAGGCCCCCAGTCCCCAGTCCCTGCGCAATTTAAGTTGCTTGCTTGTTTAACTCTCAGATTCAAGCGTGTCTTAATGTGCTGTCGAAATCCATTGAAATGTCTTGCTAAGGACGATTCCACAGTGTTCAAACAGTATTTTTAAGAATCAAAGAATCTATCTTTGGCGACTGGTTCATGTAGTCAACGAATCATGTTTAAGTATCTAATTGTTCGTTCAGACAACTTATCGTCCGATAAAAGTTGTGAAGTGAAGCTGTCGAAATCCTTTAGGTAAAGTATGTCGATGGAGAAGCAAATATTCTCATTAGGCATGCCAATCATTATCCGAAAAAGCTTGTGCTAAGTTCGGTTATGTGTGGCAACTTTGAATATACGGCTATTCTGTTTATGGTCGTCTACATCAACAATTCTTTTTATCAAAACCATGATTGTATCCGATTGTTCGTCTCTGTCGTGTTCCTCTACCTGAACCCAATGACGTTCTCAATTACTCTCGGAGGTTGTGATTATAAAGATATAGGCCACGGCCCAAGTAATATACCTAATTGACTTTCTTGTACATCATGGTAAAGTCTGCTCGTGAGTTCTGCCTTGGAAGCGTAGTTGATACTTAATCTACTTTGTATGGATTTGGAAACAACTAGCTGATATTCTTTTCCCTGCAGTTTTTTCCTGAATGCCGTAGGTATCTATCTCGGGCACTGTAAAAAATTTGAAGGCAGTGTCTGAAAATGCACACAAACATTGGGCAGTATTTTCTGGTCTAGTGCTCCAAGACTGGCAAGGGTGAAAATACTCAGGCCCGTAGCAAGTACGCTTAGCCTAATGGACTCGGGTTCTTGATCAGGAATCGGATTTTCTGCGCATCTATTCCGAATCCAATCTGTCAATTAATTGACGTAATTGTGCTTAATCTTAAACAGAAATGTAAAATAGGCTGCTTGAAATTTTTACGGCATTCATGGGCTGGTGACAGCTTTTTGACAATAAGACCAGCATATCCGAATTATTCCGGTAAAAAAGCAAGATTTTGGACCTGGTCGCCAACAATTCGATCTTCCGAAGGGTGGCATACAACGTTTCGTTTTCCTAGAGGACATCATGAGAAATTAACAGACTCCTGGATCTAGAGATCATGCGATCACAGAGTATTCAGCAATAGTACCTTAGAGATTACTATTTGGAAGAAGCAGAATAAACAGTTTGCGGATTAGTCGGTTCTCCCGTCCTTAGAGCCACTGCCAGCTAGTGCATCTTATCTGTGCATTCACCTGGCGAGAAGTTAACTTCTTCCACAGTCGTGACTGATGCACACGACTTGAGCGCAGTAAAGACTTCATCAAGTAACTGCCATGTAGCCTGTTTTGAATTCACAAGTGCACGTTTTCTGACTCAGTAGTCTGTTTGCATTAACAGTTTGTATGGCGAATATTTTCATCAATTTGACAATTTTCTTTAGAGCGCACCCTACACTGGGACTCATTATAACGTATTTTGGGTTTGGCGCATTTCAAACGGTTGTAGTTATTTTCCTGCTTAAGCTTCTCTCTACTCCCCATAGAGATAGCACACCTGTCAGTGGCGAACTGCGCATCTTTATTGTGAAATACTAAGGCTAATCTCTGAAAAATACAAATATTTAAAGACAGGATTAATACGCCACAGGAAGCATAAGGCCTGCAACTTGTGAGTCCTGAACGTGAAGCCATGCATAAGGAAGCACTATACGCATGATACATTTGTGAAGAAATGTGACAACTGGCTACTTAAGGATCCTCTAGCGGTTGGACCTCTTAATTTGGGGTGGCGCTCAAGTTACATGTCGCAGACACCTCTATCCAATGTACAGAACTTGGCTGTGACATACGTGCCTTAACATAAATTGTAAACGTTAATGCAGGAACACCAACTGGTGGCGGGTACATAGTTTGATTAGTTTAATAGTTTGATGCCAAAGCATCATAATATTTACATTAGCAAGTTGGCTATTCCCTGCATCCACTTGTGTTATTATCTGGATCAAATAGACCGCACCTGAAGAGAAATACC